AAAGAGAAAAAAAGAAAAAAAAAGGTATATTGGGGAATATTCAGGTCTTTAGGGGCTACCAAATATCTCAAGAAAGAGGGCTGTGTCAGCAACCCCACAGAGCAGCACTGCTATTTCCTGGAAAACTCTGCAATAATACAGTATTATAAAAGCAAAGGAGCTCAAAAAAGGAAGTATTTCCAGCTTTAAAAAGCCTAAGTCTTCATCCACATACAAAACTAGTAAAAAAAGAGCAGCTTTTTGACCAAAAAAAGATTAAATCTGATTAAATCAAAAGCTTCAAGTTTGAAGAATTTTTTTTTTTTCTTCCTTTTATTTACTTTTGAAAAATAATTCAGATGCCAAATGGCATTCCAAGTTTAATCCAGGGAAGATAAATAGAAATATTAAGGCCCATAAACCAGCAGCTGATACTGAGAGCATCACCTCGAACGAGTGCAGTAATGCAGCTATGGTCAGTATACTGCTTGTTTTCCTAAAGTGGCTTGTTTCAAACAAATTATGCAGTTTCTAACCCTTCTTTTCAAACTGGCATACAGGAAAAAATTAGAGGAAAAGGTTTTTGTAACTGTGTCTCACACAGTGATGAGTAGTCACCTTTTGTCTCTATTAAAATAAGTAACTTCAACTTTCAGACTACTTCATGCATTTTAAAATGAGAAAAATTCAGAAACTAATTTAACTGAGATGCAAGATGAAAACCATGTAAAACCCAAACTGTTCTTTTAGTCCCTGTACAACATGTGCAGTTCAATTAATCTCCAAGTATACATTACAGACAGAACATAAAATCCTTTTGTTAACATGCAACACAAAACAGACCTGTTAGACTGCAACATAAGATGAATCAAAGCAAAAGTCATGAAAATTATTAAAAGAAAAAGGGATAAAAATACATACACTTGGTATAGGCATGACCTGCATCTGGTCACCCTGGGGAAAAAGAAAAAAAAATAAAAAAATCACTGTAAGGGTAATGGCTTTTAAAGGGTAGAACAAAGGTCTGAAGCAGTAAATGTAGCACTCAAACATTTTAAACCAAAAGTTAAAAGTATTCAAGAAACCAGGGTAAAAAAAAAGAAAAATAAAACCAGGATCTTCCATTTTAGTCACTGAAATGATCTGTTAGTACATTGGCATTTATGATTTTTAGGAGACTGGACTGGTAAAACCCATGCTGTGATTAATAACAGATGATAATAAGAAAGCACCTGTATTTACTGTAACTTTTTCAGCTTTAAGATCTACTAATGGGTATATTTCTCTGTTTTCACTGCAGCAACAAGATGCTCAGCCAGATCTTGGTAGCAGGGCAGTAGCCCACTCCTTGAGGTTAACTTCACTTGAGACAACTGCCTCAGAAAAAACAGTATTTTGACGTAGGCAACAGCAAAATGTTCGAGAAGGACACGATGATGAAAAACTAATCCAAGGAATCCCACTTTCTTCACCCAGAAAGAGGCAACAGTATCAGTGCTCTTCCCATGGTCTCATTTTTGTATTGTACTTGGGAGAAGGCAAGACATGTCTTGGCCAACTTGACCTTTTCTTCTCATCCTAGGAGCTTCCAAATGGAGGCGGCGGGTCACTGTGTCACCAACTCAATATGTAAGACATTTTGGGAAGCAGGAACTGTATTTTCTAATCTTTCTAATCTGTCAAAAACAAGTACTTGTTTTCTGGTGGGCACAGCACACAAAAAAAAGGAAGCTGACCTGTCTAGCACAGATGTTGATTAGGTAGATGATTTCAGTCTTTAATTATTTAGACAGCACAGGCCCTGAGTACCAGCAGACTGACTATCTATCAAAAGAGCTGCTTTCAACATTAGAACATCCTCTTCCAGCTGAAAAAAAATCTTGTGCTCACTTGTTTTGGAGTCTAACATAGTGTTGACACATCACTGACAAACAGAAGTAATTCAATATTACTTTTAAAGTCCTCTTTTTATTGCTACAACTGCAGAAATTTTTACCAAAGTTTGACCAAAATCCAGAGAGGCTGATGAAGCAAGCTGAAGAGCAGTAACTACCATGAACTATCAAGAAGTTTGCTTTAGTAAGAAGTACCTGATTTCTATAAAAACAAACACAAAAGCTGGCAAGAATTCTAATTTTCCTCAAGATAATGGCAAAAAAAATTAAAAAATCCAGTAATTTAATGTCCTGTTAGTGGAACATCATCTGAAGTTCATGGGCCATTTGAGAAAGGAGTGAATTTGAATAGATGTCAGTCAGATTAGCTGGCCTGTAATCAAATTGTTGTCAAGGATATGGTTACGCAGGCAGAGCACAGATTGCAAACCCGTGTTTTGTTTTGTTTTTAAAGGTTTTTTTTTTGTATTCACTGGTAGAGAGAATAGAATACGACTGGAGCTCCTCTTCTGTCAACAGATGAAAACAGTATATGAGAGGTAGAGGCATATCCACAGTTACGGTAATAGATTATCTTACTCGCGGACACAAATATAGCTGTGTATCACATCAGGTTTTCCCACAGGCTTCAAGAGGTACTCAGTGTGGTGTAACTTGCCTTCTACTTTCGCAATCTCTTGAAGCAAGAGCTGCACCCCACTGTGTTACTGTTAAGCCTGACTTTCACGGGAATCCAGAATCTAAGTTGCTAAAGGACTTACATTACTGTTCGTTTTGTTTCTTAAATCAAAAAACAAGAAAAACAAACAAATTTCCTAAGAGGAAACCTAAAAGTACCTATGCAAAAATTAAAATGGTAATAATGCCAACTTGAAAAACAAGCAGAAAGATAAATGCAAGAGTCCGCTGGTAAAGCGTAAGTGTTCATGAACTGGTAAATGATTTTTAAAAACAAGCCTGCTACAGGAAACTTTTTAAAAGTCTCCTGCCTCATTTCCTCATGCCTTGGAACAGGAAGGGAAATAGGTCATAACGGTTATCGTTTGAAATAGATGGCAGATGACCGCATTTGTTGAAGTCTTTCCATGAGGCTGCTGATGCTGGTAACAGGACAAAGCTGTTCCTAGAATGCCAAAATTTCCCCATTTTATCACAAAGATAACCCAGGAACTGTTTTGTCCAGTCACTAAAAGCATTTTTTTTTTTCATGGTACAAAACATACAGATGAAATGATAAATCCTACTTTTTCCCTTAGTTACATACTTCTGGTTTGAGAGACACGACGTTTTCCAGTACTACATCTGCTCAGTAATGCTCTCTGTCTATGGTTGCGTACGGGACCAATGAGCATGAAGTGACAGGCCACATGACTTTGTTTTTTGGAGAAGTCGATATTCAAAGATAAGGAGCTGTTTCATTTTAAAGAATAACCCCTTTAGAGAAGAAGCTGATCAAAAGAACAGATTTATCGTATTTGTTTCTTTAACACAAAGCTTATACTAGACCATGATATGTTCTTTAAAAACAGTAATATAGTTACCATTTAACTCTTTCACTGACTTGGAACATGGAGCTTTGTCTCTTAACATAGAAGATGTTTCTGGAGGCAAAGATCAGACTGAGCAGGCAGAGAGAGAGGAATCAAGCATAGCTATGCAAAGAGGGGTTTTGTTTTCTGAATAAAACTGCCATAGTGCATGGTGATGGTGACCAACAGAACCAAAGACTAGGAATTTTCTTGCCCTGAGCAGCAAAGGTTAAGCTGGAGAAAGAGTACTATTATTTACATTAATCTCAACTATCTTCCTCCATACTGGAGAGTGAGACTGGTTTCCAGGTCAGTTCAGAAAGCATGCTGTCAATAGTCTCCCCATCAAAGAGACCATGCTCGTGCTGCTCCTCTAGGTCTCTTGCATGAAGGAGATCCTACTTTTGACCTCAAGAATGTGCTCCCTACAAGCCGTTTTTCTCACTCTGGTGAACTATATTCATGTGGGACACAGAAGACTCTTCTTCCTGCATTGAGTTATAAATAGAGATCCCTGAAGTAGACAAGAGTGTTGGAGACATGACAATAGGTCATCAAACCAGCTTTCCAGCATCACCTTGGAGATGACAGCATCGTGCAGCAAAAAGCAGTGGGGAGAAGGAGACCTAACTTTTGCAGTGGTCAGGATAGAGTGAAGTGGAAATTCAAGGACTTGACCTTTCTGGCTTCATTCCTGTTACAGGGAAAGCAGTGGAGGCAGCTGTTGCCCCCAGAATAAACCACCTTCTAATTATGTCTTCTTCCCTGTTGAGTGTGGATCAAGACCTTCACCTCTAGTTCAACAAGTATAAAAAAACCCGTTCCTCATTCATGCTTCATCTTGTTGAACACGAGCCACCTGCCCGATTTGGATCTAACTGTGAAACAAAAGCAAAGATGACTCTAGTGGAAGCGGGTTGTAAGGGAACTGGCAAAGTGCCGGTAGACTCGTCAGAGTTCCCTAACCCACCACAACCGAAAGCAAAGGGAAGAAAGAGCTAGTTTGCATCTAGCTTTTCTAACCTTTCTCTACCCGGATCCCTCCTTGAAGCCTACAGATAAAATCTGTATCAGCAAACACTTCAAAACTCAGCTAACAAACTTACCCAGAAAAGAAAAAAACCCAAAAATCAACAACAAAAAACCCCCCCTTACATCCAGGAGCATGCCCAGAAAATACACAAATTGAGTCAAATTGCTAACTGAAGAACAGAAATTAAGATTTGAATTTATTCAGAGGAAAACAAAAAAACACTTCCCTCTCCCAATACTCCGGCCCCTAAAAAAAAAAAACACCAAACCAAAACTGGCTGGAAGGTGTTGGTGAGCTGCCTGCTGCTGAGGAGGCAGGAAAAAATTAGCAAGGATTTCATGAGGCTGAACATTGTGTGCTCCCAATGACACATCTGGCTCGGCATCCAAGCTGCAGGCAGGGTGATATACCCACTGTAATAGATATTACATCTTAGAATATATCTTTGTGCTGCACTAAAAAGCTGTCGTGTTTTAAGAAAAACAAATATATAATAGTTTCAGTAAATACAAGTTATTATTGAAAAATGTTGTATTGAAACTTTAGAGACAGAATGGACCATTCATTACCAGTATTAGAGTCACACTTGGACAAGCAGCTGCTCTGTGAGTAGAAGGTTTAAAAATTAACTCAATACTTTAAAGAAGTTTTTGGGCTTTTTTTTCTCCCCTAACTGAATAGAAGTCAGCGCTGAAAAATCCTGTTTATTCAAAACCGTGCCCAGTTTGGTGTTTCTTCCATTCCTATGAAGAAGTGACATGACACTCGACTTGCCAAGCATAATCAAGTCACATTAGCTGGTAAAATACTAAATGAAGTACTGATTCATTTAAAGCACCGATTTCATTTTTTTCTAATACAGCAAAATAATAATAGTAAAAATTAAATCGTACAACACAGTTACTCTGAACAAAATTTCAGAACTGTTTTTTCAATTACTTCATAAAATACTCTTCCCTGCTTTCCCTCCTTTAACAACAGGTTAGCATTTAAAGAACCGAGACTCCTAGAAGGAAGTTAGCTTGTCACATCAACTTTAAGAATATGCCAGAAGCAACACAGAACAAACACTGAGTTCCTGTGAAGCCAGCAGAAGCTTTCTCCATTCCTTTCCTTCCTCTGAAGTCTTTATCACCAGTTTTCATGTAACAACTCTACTGAACAGTAAAGGAAGAAGGAAAGTACATCCAAGACAGTTTATACTAGTTTCTAATGATAACTATTTAACGTTATTGTGTCATTTTCTTTTTTCAATTTTTGAAGGAAAGGGTCATAACATATGAACTGACTAGGCCATGCTCAGAGGTCACCTGTGATGTGACAAATAATAAGACATACAAAAGAGACAGAAGATATAAGTGACCTTTTGAACTGCAGCTCAACAGAACTGAAACTATTCTAACCTGGCAGGCAGAATAATGCAAAAAGAGCTTTAATTAAACAGCAGAGGAATGTAAGCAGTGTGTTGTCAGACTTGCTTTTCTTTCCTAAAACAGGTAATTTTGTCATTCCTGGACCATTTAATTTCACCAATTTAGAAACTGAGGCCCACTGTTGCATGTACTTTCCCCCAACTTCCCTATCACTTCTGAATCTAGACAAGATGCTCAGTGTAACTCAAGCAGATCCAAGCAGCCTGCACAGTTCTAAAACACAGCTCTCCTGGTAAAAACCACTAGCCTGACAGTGTAACGATACTCCAATATATCCAAGTCTTCAATGCTGTTTTTCTTTCTTTAAAAGAATTTCCTACTCATACTAACCATGTTAGCACTCAAAGTAAAAACAGCATATAAAAAGACATACAAAGCTTATTAGTCTTTAATACTCATTTAAATTAGAAATGTCACAGACTTATTTGCACTCACTTAAGAGCTACTCAAAAGCTTAGCTATACTTGATTTCTTCTACGAAGATCTGTACGCATCTGAGTGCCATTCACTCTATTTGAAGAAAACGCACTCTTTAATAATTCTTTTTAACATATTCCTTGAACTTTTTTTACTCCATTAAGCTGTAGTCTGGTAATTCTATGAATTTGGTGATTTGTGTCCTCTGCTCATGAACAAGTATTTCATAACTTCAAAACTGCTCACCAAGGTAGCACAAAGTGAGGATGGAAAGTTATGTGAACATACATGGAATCACTCGCTTAAGGCGTAAGATATATTTAGAGAGTAATTAACTGTTTTACAAAATACAATCTGAAAACTACTGACTCCAGACCGTTTTAACCCACGTTTTCTACAGTAAAAACAATTTCTTTATGTGGTTTTTTTTTTTTTCCCTAACGAATTCCCACTTTCTCTCAGCTGTGATTTTGCTAGTAGCCTCACTTCTGCCTCCCTTCCATTCCCTAGCACAGTGGAAAGGGAAATGTTATTAGTTTCCCATTCCTTTTGCTTCTCAGGTGAACGCGTGCACACACCCTACACACTACTCAGCCTTCCCTTCAGCACATCCAGGCTAGATTTCCCTCATTTCAGTCAAAATGTACCTTGGCTAGCAAAAGTCTAAAAATACACATACAATTCCTCCTCTTGGCAGAGGAATTTTCAGTGCACTTTACCTCCGCATGAGCAGTTTCAGCATGAACTGTTGCAGTTCAGACTTTACCTCCACACATACTCTTAGTCTCCATAACTTTAATTTGCTTTCCTTTCCTCTCTCCCACCAGATGTTCCTCTGCTCTTTCTCCTGAGCTTTTCAGAATTCAAACATAACCAGCAAAATTAAAAAAAAAAAAAAAAGAAAAAAAAAGGACTGCACAGAAATCAGCTGCATCAAATACAAAAAATTACCATGGAGAGCAGAAGGGTGAAAAGATAGAGACATCTCCATTTCTGTTATTATTCCCCATTATGGATACACCTATACTTGCAAACTCTTAAATTCCTGGAAAAGTGGGAGAGGAGTGGTGTTTCAACTAAGAGTATAGCACTAGTGGAGTGTTGAAAGTGCTGAAAAATAATACGGTATGGAAAAGATGGTATTCCTGTGTTTGCTATATTGAACTGAAATTCTTTAGTTCATAATGCAAATGCACTCAGTGTTATCAGATTTGAAAAGAACATATAAAATAATTTGTGTTGTGATTTTATGAATATGGTAAAGCAATATAATTACTAGAACTCAATGAAAGTAACATGCTGCTCTTACATACAATATTTTAAAGTGCTAAAAGTTTGTATAAACTAATTTGACTTATCATGTAAACAAAACTTAATAACCTGGGAAAATGGCCAAAAGCCGATACCTTTAGACTCAGAGTGCATCAAACAGAAGTGAACTGGTTAGAAAAAAGGTCCAAACAATTATAGTTCTCCTCCTTTTTGAACTGTTTGTATGTCACTGAAAACCTTTTCAGTTGACATTCAAAGAGGTTCCACTATGCTCCACTGGACACATTTTAACCTTCCAGTAGTTGGGAAAGAGAACCAAAGCTAGAGACAACTCAGCATCCGAAATTTTATGAGAAGTCCACATTTTTTTAGCATCTTAGTCCGGTTTTGAATGTTGTTTGCTTACAAAATGTATAGTGCCAATATCCTTCATGGAAAAGTTAGGTTTAAATTGCAGCTGAAATGACAATCTTAGAAATTCACCATCAAAACAGTGGGGTTTTTTTCAATAACTCATAACATGTTCCCCATGAGGGAAACCTATTAAGACAAACCTTCAGAACTGCAGAGTTAAATTTTGGTTACAAAGACCCATAGGACAGCAAAATAAGATAAAAGTCTGACCTTCTGAAGTCCTCCATTCTCCTCCACCAAAGGAGGAAGAGCACTGGTGCTATTGGTAGATGGTGGTTCGACATTGTAGTCACGAAAGCAGCAGAATAAGGTGCTAAAGATACTTCGACTCCTCTGCTTCTTCAAGCTGATATTACATTGGGACACTAGAGTAAAAACAAAAAAGATAGTAGAAAAATAAATTCATGTAGCACAGACCTAGTTTTCCAGACCCCAATGACTGAATTTAAGATGCATGGTTATTACCTCAGAAGTCCTTTTCAAGTCTTAAGAGATTTTAAGAGACTCTTAAGAGATTTTCCACCTTATTGAGATGCAAAATTATTGATGACATTATCCCTACTGTTTCAACACAGTTTTCCCTTGTCAAACTCACACGGTGCCGTTAGGCTATTACTAAGGAACCTGGATCTCTGCACAATCAAAGATCTTGCACAATCAAAGACACTACTTTGAGAGTTTTCCTAGAAATATCCCAAGCAGAAAATATAAGTTACATGAAATAACTTGCTGCTAAAATATATCTCTGGACTGAGGAAGCAAAGAGGACCGATCTAGAACAGGAGAGATGCAATAAATGCCTACTGATGCCCAGGTGTATTTCCTAGCCACATACATGATCATGTGTGGAACATTTAAAACCCTGCAAAAGTCAGAAAAAGATCTGAGATGTTTCTGGAGTTTCCTCTGTTACTGTTTGGCAGTGTTGCTGGAAGACAGAAGACAACACAGAGCACTGTGAGCTGCAACCCTGGCTGCAGGAACAAGTCTGGAGAGGGTGTTTCTAAATAAATCAGAATTCCAGGCTTTCTTTTTGACTTGCTTTTTGGTCTACCAGGATAAAAAAAAAAACAAAACCTATCTGGTAAAAAAATCACATACAGGTCAATGAAAGCAAGTGTAGCATTTTTAAAGACTAAAAAGCAACAGTTTGGAGAAAAGAAATGCACATAAAAAGTCTAGTGACTTCCCTAAGATTCGAACTCCTGAAAATTAGATCTTGAAAACACAAATAAAAAAATAAAGTAAGTTAAAAAAAAGAGTTGGAAAAAGGTTTTAGAATAATTTAAGTAACACTCTATTTGTTCACCAAATATTTTAATGATCTAGCATTAGCTAGAGGTATTTGTTTCCTGCATCAGAGTGCAATACCCGACCGACCTAGCACTCTTCCAGGAGAGGGACAGGCAGGTGCACCCTTTTCATCTTGTGCCTTTCACGCAGCCCGTTTTCTTTGATGTTTATCTATACCACTGCAACATACGGTACTGAATGCTATCAACACTCAACTTGCTAACATCACACGGTAACATAACACGAGACAACCACGTCACGTGCGGCTTGTAAATAGCTACTTTACCACAACTCCTACCGTGAATACGGTACAAAACCAAACACCGCACACCCCGTGCCAAAGACAGGCGCTCCCCTCTGCCTCACCTTAGCCAGGACTACCTTATCCTCTCCATTAAGCAGAGAAATATCTTAGACTATAGAGCTTAATGGCTTCCTTTTCAGAGTCAACATATTAATTTAAAATACATTCAAACAAGTCGTCGTTCTTTTTTTCACAGCTATGCAGCAACGCATCTTAACGTAGCAAACTTTAAAAGGTGGATTAAAAAGGGTGCTACGAAAGTTGTAGCACCAAGCAGATTAATAGCCATCCACACACTACATAGTTTATTTATATTCTGCATTAGAAGGAACAAAACACTCCCCCATTCCAAAGTTAGAGGGTAAGCGAAATTCTTAGTAAGTCCCATTACACACATTAATATGTAATTCCCCATCTTTCTTCCTCTCTCAGATTATTAGGGAACTGCCACAAATATCTACCTTCCTCCTGATATTACAAATGTATCAAGTGCAATCAAGGCAACTGGCAACAGAAATACAAATAATACAATTATCAATACATAAAGAAAATTTCAGTGAAAGAAGAGTTGTGTACGAAATGGGACAAATCTCCCCGGAAGACGTAAGGGATACCACCACGCTCTGAAGTCAGAAGGTGTGCAGGTACACGTGTGTGCTTTGACAAGAAAGCCTCATGGTACACATTTTGAGTGAACTTTCAAGCACTCTCTGAAAATATAAACAAAATCTTTTGATTTCCTAGAGTCAGCATAAGCTAGACATCAACACTTTCTCCTCTCAAAGCACTCGCAAGGTGTCCAACAGGTCCAACAGTAATTTTCTGTTCTCGACACAGTAAGTATTTCCATATTTGCCAAAATATTTTTCGGCCTTAAGGGAGTGAGCAATGCTCAGGCTCAGTTATTAATTGCTACTACAAGGAAACTGTACTGGTATCAAAAACTAAATGGGTTTTATAAACTTCCACTATTTAGAAAGTGCTCAGATAACAGAATAAAGTCAGAATTGTGCACAGATGTGTGCGTGTCTGTGTGTTTAAGGAAGTGTTTCATTACTTTAAAGACATTTGTAAACTGAAACCAATCTAAACGTTGCTTTTCGATACCCCAGTTAAACAGAAAACATATGCAAAACTCTGGCCATTGGTGGTCTAAGTTACAGTAAAAGACTCATTCTCAAAATGCCACATTCTGTTTGCAACAAATTTGCGGCAACATGCGTTTAGAAATCCCCAAAGGATACCTGTGCAGCTACGAAGGACTTTTTCAAAACAGCACTCAAGAAAACTTGTATCGCAAGCACAAGCAAGTTTGTTCCAGTATCATCCAGGCAAAGGGAACTTTCTGACCTTCAACACTGAAATACGCTGAAATTAGAACAGGAAGCACAAAAAGGAACACCCTACCGCTAGCGTCACAGAAACCTTCCTAATAATTTGTATTTTGTTTTCAGCCTCTACTTAAATACATGACAGCAGATAATCACATTTGAATGTTTAAAACAGAAACGCTCTTACACAGCATTTATCATCATCTTTTGGTTTTTTCGTGGACTTTATAAGGTACGAGAAGGTAACGTTAAATTTCATCCTGCAAACAATTTTTATGCATAAAATAGTCCTCCCAAAAAGCCAAGACTGCATTTTATAATAAAGTCCACTTTATATTCTAGGCTGGGTCCGAGGTAGGTCTTCAACACTGGATCCATTTCTATAAAGTTAACAAAAAGTTACTGTTAAGCAAGAAAAACTAATTACCAAACGTTTGCGTGAGAAATGTTGCACGGTACTTCTGAGCTTAATCTTCAGAAGGTTAATAAATACAAACAGCATGCAAGGCAAAAATTTACCTAAACCACATCATATTCATCCCCAAACCTCACAACCACGGATAGTCTGGACACGCAAAGAGCCATATTAACAGATTACAGGATGAAGTCCCAAATTTTCAAGAGACATTCTGCCCAGTAACAACTACAGCATTTAATGGAGAGGGGTGAAAACAGGGATGCCGCAAGGTCTCCGATGGCTACGGCTTTATGAAGATGCACGTGGTCAAGAGATGCTTGAACTCCTCATCTCTCCTGATTCCTCAGATCCGTTCACATCTTGCTGCTCTGAGTGGCTGTTTGGAACAAGTCTTTCAATCAGGTATGAACTACAGCAGCAGTTTTAAATTCATAACTTAGAGCCTCAGCTGCATGGCAGATCAACAGGAGCAACTACTTAAGAACTAACATTTGTATCTTTTCTATGGAGAGGACAGAAAAAAAGCAGTAAACAGAGTAAATAGGCTAAATAAACATTCAAAAATCTCACACAAACGCTACTGATTTGTTCAAATCTTTTAAGAATACTTGTTTTCCTTCATCAAATTATACATTTGAAATCTGGCCACTCACTTTCATTTAGTGAAATATTTGTTCTAGGAAAAATAATCCTTCGTGTCGTTTTTCATCTTGGCAATTTTGCCATTCATGATACAGTGGTGTTTCAAATTGGTCTTTCCATTACTTTAGATGTTATTTTAAGAGATGCATTTTTAAAAATAATATAGAGGCTTTACAGTGACTTAATAAATTATAATTTCAGATGCAGTAAAGAACAGAAGTTCTCAAGTAGCTTTTTGTGCCATGCTGTATTAACACACACAGGTATTGCATATGTAGAAAAGATTTGCACCATATCTCATTTTTAGCAACTATGACAGCGTTGTGGATCACAGAAAATGGTTTCTCATTGCTTAGTTACACCGGATCACATGCAATACGTGTGCTGTATGCTAGATTTGCTTTTCCTGAAACAGTGACAGTACAAATGTAACAACTACAAACTCTAAAGGTGTAAAGAAGGATCAATATTAAATCGCTACCATAAATTTAGGTATTCTGGATGCTAGCAAATTTTGAAGAGAAAAAAACTGCAGAGGACAAAACCTGGTGCTCCTTAAAGCTTATAGGTAAGACCAGGTAGTAACGATACTGGGACGGTAAGCTGAATTATCTAAATTCTAAGTCTGAGCAGCATCCAGCATATGGAATTTAGAGGACACTTCCTTTTTCCCCCCTTCCATGTTCTGGGAGTTACAACCTGATTTCTGGAACTGATTTCCTACGACACCCACAGAAGCACTATACTCATTACCCTTATCATCACTGAATGCTAAAGACAACTTCGAGGGACTTTTCACATCTCAAACATTGCATACCAAACACGTAAACACTGTGTACCAAACAATCCCAGGCAAAACAACTTCACAATATGAAAACACGTTATCCGTGAAAGCAGAGAAGACCGTAACCAGCAGGTATCTGCAGAAGAGTTGAAGAAAGGAACAACACAGGACTGGAGCGATGCTTTCCCTTGACACCACCCTAGGTGCACTCTAATTGCAGTTTTAGGACCTCCTTACCTGAAGATATCAACTGTGTAAGGAACAGTCCTCAACAAATTCCTCTTCCATGACTTTGTCCCATCACGTTTTGAACCTACACCAACTTGTACTGCCAGAAGTGTCCTGTGGCAAGGTCCACAGTTCAGTCAACAGTTTATCTGTTTCATAACTCTGCCCCTCCTTGTTTCTTATCTTTGTACCATCTCCAATTCATATTTGGAGGAGGAGGAGAGAGACTATAACCACACACAACATTCAGGATGAAAGGACAGAACCACGGATTCATACACCCACACAATGCTTTGTTCTCTTCCTTTTCTAATAATTCCTAATATCTTATTTGAGTTTTACAACAAGTGAGCATTGGGCTAATGTG